AGACAGACAGACAGACAGACAGAAACAAAGAAACTCATATCCATCAGTGGTCATTTGAAAGAAAATGGCCCCCAAAGGGAGTGGCACTATTAGGAGGTGTGGCCTTGTTGGAGGAAGTGTGTCACTGTGGGGGTGGGCTTTGAATCTCATATATGTTCAAACCATGCCCAGTGTCTCAATTCACTCTTGTTGTCTTTGGATCAACATGTAGGCCTCTCAGCTACTTCTCCAGTGCCAAGTCTGCCTTCATGCCCCACCATAACAATAACAGATTAAACCTCTGAAACTGTAAGCTGGCCACAATTAAATGTTTTTCCTTTAAAAGAGTTGCCATGGTCTTGGTGTCTCTTCACAGCAATAGAAACCCTAACTAAAACAACATCTACTTAAAAAACAAGAACCACTCCCCAATAGATAATCTGAGAACAGAATAACCAGAGGCTCTAAACACAAACCAGATTCTGAAGGAACTTTGATTCAAAAGAGAGGAAGCATTTTTTCAAAGTTTCTCTTTTGTCTTGAGCTGTGATAGTATAGGGTGGTATAAGACTCCAGGCATGTGTGAATGGTGTGTGTGTGTGTGTGTGTGTGTGTGAGAGAGAGAGAGAGAGAGAGAGAATGAATGAATGAGAATTCTGTTTCTCTCCTTGGCTCTCACTTCCATTTTGTATTACATCATCTGTATTAAGTCTATTTGGTGAGATTTTTACAGATAGAATGAAAGGGTATTTGTGATTTGATGTTTCTGATCTCTGCAATGCACCAACATTATAGGACCAAATTCTTGCATCTCATTAAGTTAGAAGATTAGTTATCTGATTATTGGGGTGTAAGAACTTCTCTAGACCAAACACGTCATATGTTTTAAAATACTTGACCTCCTGTGGTTTTTCCAAAACTGCTATAAATGATCACTGCTAATGCATTGAGAGGAACTTGAACTGCAAACATCTCATTAGAAGCCTCAACCAATCACCTCCACTGTGCCTGTTGTGAACTCTATCTTATTTTTGTCTTTGTCTTTGTGGGGTATACTGTTTGCAATATTCAGGGGTAGATATAAACATCAGAACATATATATCAGCACTTTTAATTTCATATTGTATTTGCAGTTGGATTAACTAGTGCAAAGTCACAACCTATCTAATAAACATGAATTGATTGGGGTCACCTGTGTACCATTCAAGGTAATTTGCTACTTAATTCCTTTGGTAAAATTGAGACTGTTGGGCTTACTGCTCCTTGTTCAGAGAAGAATTTCCAGGACTATCATGTTACAAGAAAGCATCAGCAAAGGTCAGTATGGAAAAGTTTGGCAGGACAAATGGTGGGGAGAAATGGCTGGAAATATTTTCTCTTCTAGGGAAGAATGTTCATGGTTCCGAGAGACAGACATTTATCAGACTGTGATTGCTCCAAACCACAGAAAAGGCAGGCGCGCGCGCACACACACACACACACACAAAAGCTACAGGGAACCATGACACCTAACAGTGACTTTGAAATCTTCAAAATTTCAAAAGGATAAAGGGACCCCACAAAGATGATTCCACATGGACTATGATAAAGCCATTAAGCTGATTAACACCACCAAAAGATTGACTTTGGACTATAAACTAGTCAGGACAATTTTGAGATGGCTAGCTGAGATGATCCAGCCTGACAGACTACCTGAACAAGGACTTGAAACAAGCCCTGCACTTTCTCATTATGCAGAGACTGGACAAATGATACAGGACTTGACAATTAATCCAAAATTTTTCTTTTCAGGATTCCCTAAAGATGTCTTTGCTCCCAGAAAGCAGGAAGTAATATTAAGAAAATGACGCCCACATTCCCAAGAGGTGGGGTGTGTGTTTCTTGGTCATTCAATGGCTTATGGATAATTGTCATTGTTTCTGATGGTTGGTTACAAGTTGTTAATTGTTAATGGTCAGGAAACAAAGCTAAAAAAGGAGATTAGATTCAGAGTTTTTGTTTGGAAAAAAAAGAGAGAGAAAGGAGAATATAGATATGAGGTAGATTATTGAATCTACTCTGAGAAAAAAGATAAAGAAATAATAGGATAAATGGGCAGATCATTGAATCTACTCTAAAAAGAAAAGGGTAAGATATAAAAATGACAAAAGGTAGATTACTGAATCTATTATGAAAAGAAAAAATATGTATATGATAAGATAAAAAGGTTAATTATTGAATCTACTTTTTAAAGGGAGCTACTTGTTTTAAACAGGAAAGTAATGAATTTTTTTGTCTGAGTTTATCAAATGTTACTGGACTAGACATTGTTTATATATATAATGGAGTTTTTTCATCTGAATCTGTCAAATGTTAATGGACTAGACATTGTTTATGTAATTCCTGACTGCATATATTGTATATAGACAAAAAAGGGGAAATTTGATATTGTGTTCCCCAAAATATTGTGCACCCTAATAAACTTATCTGGGGTCAGAGAACAGAACATCCACTAGATATAGAGGCCAGAAAATGGTGGCACTCACGCCTTTAATCCTAGAACTTGGGAGGCAGAGATCCATCCAGATCTCTGTGAGTTTAAAGCCACACTGGAAACAGTCAGGCATGGTGACTCACACCTTTAATCCCAGGAAGTGATGGCAGAAAAACGTATATAAGGTGTAAGGACCAGGAACTAGGCTGGTTAAGCATTTGGCTGGTTAAGCATTTGGTTGGTTAAGCTTTTAGGCTTTGGAGCAGCAGTTCAGCTGAGATCCATTCAGATGAGGACACAGAGGCTTCTAGTCTGAGGAAACAGGATCAGCTGAGGAATTGGTGAGGTGAGGTAGCTGTGGCCATTTCTGCTTCTCTGATCTTCCAGCATTCACCCCAATACCTGGCTCCCAGGTTTGATTTTATTAATAAGACCCTTTAAGATTCATGCTACACTCAAGAAGAAGAGGAATTTTAGAATGTGTTGTCGCGGCTCTGTGGTGCTAAAGAATGCACCCCATCCTAAAATGCAGCTGACAGCATGTTTTGGGCAAATCCCTTCAAAGCCACTTCATTTTCATTACCTAGTATTTTAAGAGTAATTATCCTTTAATGTGATCCTAAAATTATCCTCAAAGCTAAGGTAAATGCTGGCTGCTTTTGCTATTTGATTTCTTTACAGAATCACTTAACTAACAGCTGTAAAACCAACAACAAAACTAGTCCAGAAGCGCAGAACAGAAAGCATTGTTCCCAAAACCGACTCCCGTCTTTCACTTTGGGGGCCCAGTTGCGGACAGATTAACATACGGGTATGAGCTGGAGGTGGGAAGACTATAAAATATCTCACTTCGGTTCCATTCACCTCCCCACATCAACTTTGGTTGTTCCTTTGTAAACTTATTTATTTATTTATTTTTAGCAATTAAGTCCTCAGCTGACAGCCTGTGGCAGATGCCATTCAAACTGCGGCGGCTTATTGGGTCGTTAGCAGGATAAAATCAAGTAGCCAATCTACTAATCCCTTCACAAGAAAATAACTTTCCGCATAAAGACTGGAACTTATGTGGCCATTAGCAGATGCTCCATCGAGCGACCAAAAATATACACATTTAAATTCTTAAGCACAATCTATGAACACCACGCAGATGGTTTCCAAGAAACTGTACCTAAATTGATTACGATAAAAATGATCTGCTGCGATTGTTTCTGTCAAAAGGGAGAAGAGAATCTGTCCCAATGTGTCGCTCTGCCCACTCATGCAGAGAACCCAGCTGCTGGGACAGATGTTGCTCTAAGCACTTTGTTTTAGGGTCATTAAAATGGTTACAGGGGTTAGTCATTCAGTGTTTTATAAATTGTGCTTACTAGCTGAGCTCAACAGATGCGACAAAACTTGTTTGTGGTGGATCTGAGGCAGACTTGCACAGCAGATCCACCCTGGGCTTCAGTGCAGAAATTAAGAATAAATGGGAAGGAGCAATTGAACGGAGATGAGGCCAGGAATCCTGGCGCGTCCGATGTGGACGGCATCTTCACGTGGATCTGCTTATAGCGCCGGCTAGGGTGCTTCCCTGACTGTCCCTGTGAAGCGGTCTCAGAACCACGTGTGTGCTTGTCCATCTACGGAGTTTGGGGTCTCATGCTTGTGCTGTGTAGCTGCAGAGTTGAAGCCAACCGCAACTTGTGCTGCTGTGGTCCCTCGGATTTTGCTAAGTATCGAGGCAGATCTTCATAATGCTCCTAGAACCTTCTCCTTTGAAGATGGATGGTTCCTGAGCCTTTCCGAGAATATGTTTTGCTGTCTGTCACATCAGGTTCTATCCATAAAGCTATGCTTTCTCATTATGATGATGCCTAGTACACCAACCCAGACCCAGAATTCTGCCGAAATCAGTCTCTGTGCAATGGTGGCCTAGGTGTGAGTCTGGGAGGATAGCTGTACCGTGAGAACTGC